CCCCGTCCAGGCAGCTCCCCCACGCCCCCGAGAGCCCCGTGGCTTCCCTCAGCCCCCTGGAGAAACGGGCCATCAACCTCACCTGGGCCAAGCCCTTCGATGGCAACAGCCCCCTGCTCCGCTACGTCGTGGAGGTCTCCGAGAACAGTAAGGGGCTGCTCCCACCCCCCCAGCACCGCTGGCTCCGGGTGAACTCTGGGCTCCAGCATCACCCCAGGGCAGTGGGCAAGGGATGCTGTGGGGATGGTGGGACTCGTTAGCTGGGCAGGGGACCCTGGTGTCCTTCAGGTCAGGGTCCTCCACCCTGCTGCCCCCCCCTGCTTCTCCCCCCCACCCAGATGCGCCCTGGACCGTGCTGCTGGCCAGCGTGGACCCCGAGTTGACGTCTGTGGTGGTGCGGGGCTTGGTCCCCGCTCGCTCCTACCAGTTCCGCCTCTGCGCCGTGAACGACGTGGGCAGGGGACAGTTCAGCAAGGACACGGAGAGGTGAGTGATGGCCAGGGGTCCCGGAGGGGCTGGTGGGCCTGGGTGCTCACCCAGTCTCGTCCCCTCACAGGGTGTCCCTGCCCGAGGAGCCCCCCTCCGCTCCCCCCCAGAATGTCATCGCCAGCGGCCGCACCAACCAGTCCATCATGATCCAGTGGCAGCCACCCCCCGAGAGCCACCAGAATGGTGTCCTCAAGGGCTACATCATCCGGTAGGTGCCGGTGGGGGAGCGTGGGTGTCCCATCCCCAGTGTCCCAGGAAGCTCTGATGTCCCCTGGTCCCCAGGTACTGCCTGGCTGGGCTACCCGTGGGCTACCAGTTCAAGAACATCACCAACGCCGACGTCAACAACCTGCTCCTGGAGGACCTCATCATCTGGACCAACTACGAGATCGAGGTGGCGGCGTACAACAGTGCCGGCCTGGGGGTGTACAGCATGAAGGTGACCGAGTGGACGCTGCAGGGAGGTAGGCAGGGACAGGCAGGAATGGGCAGGGGCTTGGCTTCTACCCCAGCAGAGACAGGGGAACGGGTTTGGGGGTCCCATGGGGAGTTGGACCTACCGGGGAGGATGAGCAGGGGCTGCAGAGCTGAGTAGGGCTGGCCCAGAGAGAGGCATCTTGAGGCATCACCCTGGGTGTCCAGGGTCCCGGGGGGCTGGCACCTGGATGGTGGAAGGGGACCTTGTGGACCTGGAGCTGCTGTGAGCCGTCCCTTTGTCCCCGCAGTCCCCACGGTGCCCCCGGGGAACGTGCAGACTGAGGCCACCAACTCCACCACCATCCGCTTCACTTGGAACCCCCCCAGCCCCCAGTTCATCAACGGCATCAACCAGGGCTACAAGGTGAGGGGGGATTCCTGCAGGTGTCCCCAAAAATGGGTCACCCTGGGGCAGAGGGGGACACGCTCCTCAGGCGACCGTCACAAACTGGCTCGACTCCTCCTCGCCGAAACCCCAGCTTTTAATTGGTTCCGGCCTGTTAAAATAATATTTACTGAGATTTAACACTTGCATGGGCTCGGAGTCTCCCATGCTCTGTAATTAATTCCAAATTGCAATTAATTCAAATTTACATTAATTACATTGAATTGAAACATTAAACTTGTTTCTTAATCCACTCAAAAGAAGTTCAGGAATTTAATTGCCGCTGAATGAGATAACCGGAGCAAGTAGGATATTTAACGTTCTTATTAAATGCCACTTAGTATTTTTGATTAGTATTTTTAGGGCCTAATTAGTATTTAATTAAGTTGTGCTACGGGCTATCTTGCACAATACCAATTAAATGCCCAAACATCCCTCCTAAATGGAGGCGAGCGGGTGATTACGCGCCGTTATCAATGGGAGTTAATCACAGAGCGCGTGCTCCGTGTCGGCTCGTGCGGGTAAACACGCCATGATGGAGGCATCAAGTGTTCCCTGCACCCTTAATTGATATTTAATCAATGCTGAAATAAATAACGAGGAGGCTGGAGGTGCCCGGAGGATGGTGTTTGTGGGGTACAGATGTGCACGGTGGGGACATGGGTACCATTGGGGGGGTCCTTCTCCCCGCAGCTCATCGCCTGGGAGCCGGAGCACGAGGAGGAGGCCACGGTGGTGACGGTGCGGCCCAACTTCCAGGACAGCGTCCACGTGGGCTACGTGGCGGGGCTGCGGAAATTCGCCGAGTACTTCACCTCGGTGCTGTGCTTCACCACCCCGGGGGACGGCCCGCGCAGCCCCCCCCAGCTGGTGCGCACCCACGAGGACGGTACGGGGAGGCTCTGCGTGGATGGACCCACCGGCAGCTACCGGGGGGGAGGGTGGAAGCAGCCCTGGGATGGGGTGGGGGAGACATGGAAATGGGATGCCACCAAGCCCCAGGAAGCCCCATCCGATGGGAGTCCCCTCCATGCCCGCTTCTTGAGGGGGTCCCATGGGTGCTGAGGGCTCCCGTGTGTCTCCGCGCTGAGCTTTGGGTGTCTTTGGGCAGTGCCTGGCCCCGTGGGACATCTCAGCTTCAGTGACATCCTGGACACGTCCCTGAAGGTCAGCTGGCAGGAGCCGCTGGAGAAGAATGGCATCCTGACGGGTAAGGGAGCACCGGTGGGTACCCGGCTCCTGCATC